GGAAAGAGAGAAATAACCCCAAGGGGCGATCCTTCTTCTCCATGCTTCTCCCGGGACTTTGGGCATGCGTGCACACACACCCAGCCTGCTTTCCTCTCTGTTTTCAGTAGAGGTTTGTGCTCTAGGGCGCGTGCACTTGCCAGAAAGACACAGAGAGACAGAGAGACAGAAAGCGAGAAATCACCCCCCAGGGGGATGGCCACGCCGCAATCCCTTCTCCTCCATTCTCCTCTCGGGATCTTGGGCACACACGCACACGCGCCCGGCCTGAGTTTAAGCCACCGGGTCCGGGACTCAAACTGTGGTCGACTACATGGGAGTCCAGCGACATAGCCATGACGCCATCTGCTGGTTCTCGTTTTTCTTTTTTTAAGAATTATTTAATTTGGGGCCAGCAGGGTGCATGGTGGTTAAGGGCACTGGATTCCCACATAGTTGTTTACAGTTCGAGTCCCAGACCTGGTGGCTAGCTTTCTTTCTCTCTGTCTCTCTCTCTCTCTGGTCAAATAAATTAATCAAATTTTAAAAAAATGTTTAATGTTATTTATTTATTATTATTACTTTATTTAAATTTGACCAGAAAGGAAGAGAGAGAGAATGAGAAAGCAAGCTGCCAGATCGGGACTTGAACTGTGGTCAGGCACGTGGGAGTCTAGCACCCTCCACCAGCATGCCACCTGCCAACCCCTGTTTATGCTTATTTTTAAGGAAGTGTTTATTTGATTTATGAACATTCTTATTTGCCTAGAGAGGGATGGAGAGAGGGGGAGAGTGAGAAAGCCAGCCGCCAGGTCCAGGTCTTGAACTGTGGGCGGCCATGTGGGGGGCCAGCACTTGAACCACCACGCCACCTGCTGGCTCAGAATCAATACCGTTAGGCCATTTCTTTGTCTTGGTTTCAATGTGCTAGAGGGTGTCTGTGGTTGCCGAGAGGGGGAGAACCCGCCCTTCATCAGGCACGGGCATGGGACCAGCCCTCCTCCTCCTCCCTTCTCCTCTCGGGATGGTGGCAGGAGGGTGGTTTTCAATGCGCCGGGGTCGGGACTCGAACTCTGCTGCCAGCAGGTGGGACGCCAATGCCTTAACCACCCCCACCGGCTGGGCTTTAAGGCCATTTCCAGACAAGCCCGGAGGAGGGCTGCCCCGCCAGGCATTGCCCCATGCATGTGGCGAGTCCGGGGGTCCCCGCGTGCCCCGGGTGTGCCAGGCTGGGGGTGGGGGAATGTGCCGGGGCGGGGTGGACACCCGGGCGGCTCCAGTGACGGCTCCCGGCCCGTTCCGCAGAGTGCGACCCGGAGGAGGGCGAGCAGACGCGCACATGGCGGCTGTCTCTGCTCATCGCGCTGGGGACGCTGCTGGCCGCGGTGTGCACGCTGATCCTCTGCAAACGGTGAGCCTCGGGGCTGGGCGCCCTCCCTGCGGGGCCCACTCACAGCCTCCACGTCCCCCCGGGCCGCCCGGCGCTCCACGCCCCTGCGTCTCCGAGATGCACCGCAGGGCCAGAGCCTCTCCCTGTTCCAGGACGCTTGTCCCCTCACGAGGTCCCTGGACGCCCGGTCTCCCACACCATGGAAATGGAGAGCCCTCGTTCGAGACCTTCCTGCCCTGATCCCAGCGCCCGGTTCGCCGGCCCCCTTCACACCAGGCAGACTCTCCCTCCTAACTCCCCAGAACACCCCAAGCTTTGAGGCCCTCGGGGTCTGTCTCCGGCCGGTGTCCCCTTCCGTCCCAGCCCGCGGCCCCAGGGTGAACTGGCCTCGACGGGGGTCCCCTTCAGGGATGGGGGCCACCAGGCTTCCTAGAAGGCACGGTGGCCAGGCGGGGGACACTTGATGGGACAAGGAGGGGGTCCTGGGCCTCTAGGAAAAGGCACCATTCCATGGTTCTGGGTTCTAATCCCGGGACCCGGCCGGCCCTCTCCCAGCTCCAATGTCTGCAGTTCCTCACAGCTCCCAGTCCCCTGTGAACTGGAGAGGGGGGCCCTCCATGGAGACACAGCCGCTGGGGACCTCCCCACCCGGCAGGCCTCAGGGAGAGCATGTCCAGGAAGCAGAGCGTGGAGGGGCAGGACTGAGGGCTGTCTGAGAGCAGAGCGGCTAAGCTTTGTGCATAGGGAGTGGAATCCCACGCGGCCCACCCTGGTTCAAATCCTGGCTCCACTGGTTTGAAAAATACCCTGGGTGCGTGTGCGTGCATGCCCAGGATCCCAGGAGGATTATGGAGAAGGGACTGCAGCATGACTAGCCCCTACAGCGTGTGCTTCCCAACTTTCCCTCTCACTGTCTCTGTCTCTCTTGCTGGTGAGCACACGTGCCCTAAGGCAAAAAAAACTCTTAAGAAAAGGGGGGGGGGCTCTGTCTGGCGAACGCACATGCCCTATAGCAAAAACCTCTCAAAAAACAAAAAACGGGGGGGGGGACCAGCAGATGGCATAACGGTTACACTGCCGGACCCCTACATGGTTGACTATGGTTCAGATCCTGGACCTGGTGGCTTAGAACTATTTTTTTAATTTAACTTGATTGATTGATTGATTGATTTTAATTTGACCTGAGAGGGACTGAACAAGCGAGCGAGAGAGTGATATAGACCGTGAGTGAGAAAGCAAGCCGCCAGGACCGGGACTCGAACCAGGGTCGGCCATGTGGGAGTCCAGCGCCCTTGACCACCACACCACCTGCTGGATCCGGTGGCTTAAAACTTAAGCAGGCGCGTGTGCGTGGGTGCCCCAGATCCCGAGAGGAGAGTGGAGGAGAAGGGATTGCGGCGTGGCCATCCTCCCTGGGGAGCGATTTCTGGCTTTCTGTCTGTGTCTGTCTGGCGAGCGCACGCGCCCTATAACAAAATTCTCAATAAAAATAAAGAAAGAAGACCGTGGCCGGACCACACTCAGGTGCCCACACTGTAGGGCATATCCCACGCTTGCCATGGCGGGGTGCTCTGTCACCTGGAAAAGGACACTGTCCAAGGTGTCCCCAGTGGGTGTAGCCCGGCCCTAGCAGGTGCAGACGAGGCAGTGCACGCCCGGCCACGAGGTGTCCGTGGTGCGCCCTGGGGCACGGGGCCTGGCTCTGAGCCTGCAAACTCCCTCAGCTGGGCCGTGCCTGCCCCTGGGGGCCAGGGAGGGCGCCCCGTGGAGAAGGGGCCTGTCACGCCTCCTTGGCGTCCCTGTGGGTCTTGGGTGGACACTGAGCCCTCCCGGGACGGGCTGGCGGGGCGGATTAGGGTACACGGATTGCGTTCATCCCAGGTCCACGCTGAGGCAGAAGATCTTTCCCCCCATCCCGCACATGAAGAACCACCTCGGCGAAAGCTTCCACAACAAGCTGGTACGTGTCCGGGGGCTCTGGGGACGCCAGGGGATGGGCATCAGGGCCCTCCGGCAGCCGCGGGGTGAAGGGGGTGGGCCCTGGGCCTTCTCCAGTGGGGGACTTACACCCTGGGTGGAGCAGGTTCTGGGACAGGTGTGGAGCACATGGCCAGGGCTCCATCCCCTCACCTTACTCCCCTGCCTTGCAGATGGTCTGGGAGGCTGGCGGAGCAGACCTGGAGGACTGCCCGGTGACGGAGGTGCACGAAACCTTTCGCCCTGGAGAGCTGTGCCTCTCCCTGACGGGCCAGGAACCAGCTCCCCGGTGACGGGACATTTACTCCAGGGGGAAGAGATGCTAATCGTCAGGGGCTGGCACCCGGGCACCTTTGCACTGTGTTCATTTAATAAAAAAATGCTTTCTACCCGGTGCCTGCCCTCCCACCCCAGGGCCGCCCAGGACACCCATCCAGGTTGGCGGCAGGTGGGGCTCACGGCAGCTCGCGGCCCTGCCTCCTCTCCTCTCCTCTGCTGCGCTCTTAGCAAGACAGATTCACAAAACCCGCCGGAAACTGGGGCAGAAGGGAGAGCCCTTTTATGCACCCAGTTTATGGTGCAAAAACCTTTTTTAGTGTTTTTTGCCTAAGGGCGTGTGTACTCGCTGGAGAGACAGAGATGGAAAGTGAGAAACCACTCCCCCAGGGGGGATGGCCACGCCATGGTCCATCCTCCTCCCTGGATCTTGGGCAAACACGTACATTCAGCGTGCATTTTTAATTTTCTGCTATAGGGCTCATGCGCTCTCTAGAAAGACAGAGACAGAGATAAAGAGAGAGAAATCACCCCCCAGGGGGGATTGGCCACACCGCAATCCCTTCTCCATTCTCCTCTCAGGATCTTGGGCACACACGCACACGCGCTCATCATGAGTTTTAAGCCACCAGGTCTGGGACTCAAACTGCAGTCGATTACATGGGAGTCCAGCGACATAGCCATTACGCCACCTGCTGGCCCCGAGGGTGCACAATTTTCAAGCTACTGGATCTGAGACTTGAACATGGTCAGCCACGTGGGCGTCCAGAGACGTAACCTCTACAGCATCTGCTGGCCCCGGTGCATAAACCTGGGCAATCCACGTGGCTTCCTGTCCCTTTCCGGAGCTCCCTTCCCTTCTCCCTGTGCGGCAGCCGGGAAGGGCCTGAGGTCCCTCTTCCAGGTGTGCACAGAGGCTTTCTTGCAGACAGACCAGGAGTGGCCGTGGTGGGTGGCTGTCCCCAACAGAGGTGGGTCGTCATGATGTGGGCCACCGGCCTGGTCTGTGGTTCCTTCCCGTAGACCACAGCCCTCCCTGTCCCCGTCCAGCCTGGGTCTCTGCCCCGGAGCCCCCAGCGAGGTGCAGACAGGAGCCCCGGGGGCTGCCAGACTGAGGCCACTCACAGCTGACCCTGTCCTGCCTCATGAAGCCCCTCCCCGGCTGCTCACCTCACTCCCAGTCCAGGCAGGCAAGTGGCCCTCACCTGCCTGCCGGTCTGGGAGCCCACCAGGGGTGCAGGTCCCTGTAACTCAGGCACCAGGTCATCAAGGCTTTCTTGAACTTGGCATTTGTATTTTCCTTTTGCATCCCACCCTTCCAGTGCATCTTTAATATGTTTATCAACTATTTTAAATGCAGCGGGTGCTGCCGTGGTGCAGGCGCTGGCCACGCCTACTTGGCCAACCACTGTTCAAGTCCCAGACCTGCTGGCTTGCTTCCTCACTTGCCCCGTGGACCCGTCTCTGGTCAAATATAAATGAATGCAATCAATCAATTAGGTCTTTCTTTTTAAAAAACGTAACATATAAAGTCTAGCAGATGGTGTAGGTTATGCTGCTGGACTCCCGTGTAGTTGACCATGGTTCGAATTTCAGACCGGGTGGTTCGAAAACTCACCCTGAGCTTGTGTGTCTGCATGCGCTCAATTATCCCGAGAAGGGACTGTGGTGTGGCCATCCCCTCTGGGGGCGATTTCTCACTCTGGCAAGCACATGCATCCCACAGCCAGAAAAAAAAAAAAAAAATCAACCCACAAAACGGAAAAAATAACTGGGCAAAAGAATGTCCCAAGACTGTGGGCTGGCGGGCAGCGTGGAGAAGGTTCTGAACTCCCACGTGGCCAGGCAGAGACTGGGCCCCAGGCCCGGAGGCCTGAATCCTCCTTCCTCCCCGCGGAGCACACGTTCACTGTACCAAGTTGAAATGACACCAACGGTAATCCCCGAGGACTGAACCAGGCAATCGACAGTCACTGCACACGGACAAGGAAGCCGATCCCTGGGAGTCACGCCAGGTGGCACCCACAGGGCCTGGATGACAAGGTTTCCTGGGTGGCTTTTTCAGGCCCCACCTAGCACATGGCCAGCGTAGGACTCCAAACCAGTGTCCACCTCCCAATTTTGGTCTCATTAGCAAGAGGGTCTGTACTGAAGACTCAGGCCAAGGCGGGGCTAAGATGAGAGCCTAATTCCCACAGCTGGAAGTTCTGGAAAGGCCAGGAATGCAGGGCCTGAAGCAGCCAGAGCCGGACAGGTCCCAAGTGCCCGCCTTGGAGCCTGAACCTGGGCAGAGGCGGCTGCTGGCGAGAGCTGGCTGCATCCCAGGCATGGCCACAGATATGGCTTGTCCCTGTTGTCACCTGCAGGGCCATCTCGTTAGGGACAGGGTGAGTGGCAGAAGCACCCCGAGGAGCAGGTTTAGAGGACACCCTGCTCTGAACAGGGGTCCCCCGAGAATGGTTGAAACCTTCACCTTGGAGGCCGAGGGAGGACAGGGAGCCTTCACCCTGGGCTGTGCCTGCCCACCACTCGCCCAGGGTCCCCAAAGCTCGGCCGACCCCTCCCCGCGGCCATTTCCACCTGCAGCCCTCACCCTCCCAGGCTGGGTTCCTGCGGGGCGCGTTGCCCTCCGCCCCCACAGCCCCCCACGGCCCCCGAGCACAGCGCCATGCACACGGGAGGCTCTGGGTGTCCTGACTTTATTCTGCGGAAATGCCCAACGAGAATGTTAGCTGCGAGGACTCGGCTGTGCAAAAGGGCGAGTGCTTCAGTACAAACGGGGTCGTGGTCCTGTCTGCAATAAATACGTGACCGCGCCCGGGCCCGGGGAGCGGCGGGCCCTGGGCTGAGGGCGGGGAGCCGGCCGGCCTGGCCCGCGGGGGCGCACCGTTCCCCTCGCCGTCCTCAGCACGTGGACATCGGGGTGCCGGTGGCAACATGATCACAATGGGCCCTGAGCCCCCCAAGCCCTCCACGGCGTGGAGGGCCGGGCGGGGCGACTGGAATTTCTGGAAGGTCATGGTCCGTGAGTGGGGGTCCTACGTGGGCCGCCGCGCCGGGCTGGCCGCCTAGATCACCTTCTTGAGCTCGTCGTACAGCACCAGCACGAAGGCGCCCCCCATGCCCCGGAGCACGTTGGACCATGCGCCCTTGAAGAAGGCCTTGCCGCCCTCGTCCTTCAGGATCTTCCGCCAGCAGTCCAAGGTCCCCGTGTACATGATGTCCGCTGCCGGGAGAGACACAGGGACAGAGTCAGGGTCTTGCCGACGAGGGCCCCCAGGACCGGGCGTGGGCCTCCACCCTGAATGTCCTGGAAACAGGGTCCCCCGTGCAGGACTGAGGTCACGGCACTCCCACCCCCGGAGCCTGGCCCAGGGCAGACAGGGGTGCAAGTGGTCAGAGCCCCTCAGTCAGGACTCGTCCCTGGCCTTTGCAGGACGTCTGTACACAGAGCTGCCGGAGCCATGTGGACGGCCTGGCTCTGGCACTGCCCCCAGGACCGAGGCCGCCACCCTCCCGACCGCGGGCACTGACCTCCCTTGCGTCCGGACTGCATCATCATGCGCCTGCGCACGGTGTCGAAGGGGTAGGACACCACGCCAGCCACCGCTGTCACCGTCTGCGCGATCATCCAGCTCACCACGATGTGCGTGTTCTTGGGGTCAGGGAGCATGCCTGCGGGCGGGGGGGCCCGCGTGAGCCGAGCCCTGCACGCATGCGCACCCACAGCCCCTACCCGGTGACCGCCACGGCGCGGACCTGCACCCGGCCAGCTCAGGGACAGACAGAAGGGCCTCCCGGGAGCCGTCGCCCAGAGCAGCCCCGTGTCCCGGAGGCCGGCGACCTTACAGGCCTGAACCATCCAGCCCAGGTTCACCTCTGCAGCCTCAGGAGGCCACTGTGCCTGCAGGGAGGGTGTCTGCGGAGAAGACTGGGGGGAATGGGGCACCGCGGTGGCCGCGACCCGGTAGGAAAACAGGACAGGACCAGCAGGTGGCATAATGGTTACATTGCTGGACTCCCGCAGTGTGAGAGAGCCAACCGCGGTTCGAGTCCCAGCCCGGTGCCTTGAAATGCACTCCAAGTGGGTGTGCGTGTGCACCCCAAGTCCCGACAGAACAGAGGAGCAGGGATTGGGGCATGGTCGCCCCTGGGGGCAATGCCTCCCTCTCCCAAGCAAAAGCACATGCACCACGGGGCAAAAACCTTTACAGAACAGGGGGTGAGGACGGGGCTAGGGAGGGGCAGCCCGGCCCGGCTGGGACCGTGGCGCCCGGCGCACTCACCCTTGGCCGTGTCGTAGACGCCGAAGTAGGCGGCGCGGTAGATGATGATGCCCTGCACGGACACGCTGAAGCCCTGGTACAGGCCCCGGAGCCCGTCCGACTTGGTGATCTTCACCAGGCAGTCTCCTAGGCCCTTGAACTCCCGCTCCGTGCCCGACTTGCCCACGTCGGCCGCCAGGCGGGTCCGGGCGAAATCCAGGGGGTACACGAAGCAGAGCGAGGTGGCGCCGGCCGCCCCTCCGGAGGCCAGGTTGCCGGCGAAGTAGCGCCAGAACTGCGTGTGCTTGTCCACGCCGCCCAGGAAGATCTGCTTGTACTTGTCCTTGAAGGCGAAGTTGAGGGCTTGGGTGGGGAAGTAGCGGATGACGTTGGCCAGGTTGCCCCTCCAGAAGGACAGCACGCCCTGCTCCTTGGGGATGCGCACGATGCAGTCCACGATGCCCTTGTACTGCTTGTCGGCGGCGATCTGCTTACTGGCGTGCTGCACCTGCAGGGTGGGGACAGGTGGGTTCAGGGCAGGCCCGGGTCTACTTGCCCAGAGACCCTGAGCAGAGACGACCGGGTCCTGGGTGCCCCAGCGATGTTAGGAACTTACTTTATTTCTTTAGAGACTTTTTGCTATACAGCAGTAGTGCTTGTCAGCAAGACAGAATGCAAAATAAATATCCAACCCCAGGGATAGGGACACACCCAACCCCTTCTCCTTTCGAGATTTTAAGCACGCACGCACAGGCACCCGGCCTGACTTGTAACCTGCCGGGCCCGGGCCTCGAACCACGTTCAACTACATGGGAGCCCAGCGACGTCTCCATGACGCCACCTGCTGGTGGCCGGACGCCCCTTCTGAAGGCCAGAGCTGTGCACAGCCAGGAGCGAGACTGCTGCAAGATTGTAACCGGGCCCACGGGGCCCTCGTGACCATGTTGCCAACGCGCGCTACTTTTCCAAAAGCACCCCTCGGGCTCGCGAGCACACGCACCGGCTGCCAGCGTGCGTGCACGGCCACGAACCCTTCGCAAACATTCCCGGGAAGCGGCCCGAGGACGTTCGTCCAGCCCCCGGGGTCACGGTGACCCGGCTCAAGGTCAAGGGTGCCCCACGCGGGGTCTGTTCACGCGCGGGGCCCCGCGCGCATGCGCCCCCCAGCCCGCGCCGCGGCTCCCTGAACTGCGCGCCCACTGCGCAGGCGCGGACGTCGGGAACTGGCGCGGACTGCGCACGCGCTCCCGCAGACCCGCCCCCCCCCTGCGCAGACAGCAGCGCCCACGTGACGCGCGCCCCGGAAGCTGGCGGCGCGCGGACAAAGCGGGCG